GAGGTTTCAGACAAAAGTCTGGTTAAAGATGGGGAAAGTTCTTAGTGATGAAAGTGGATGCCATCATGAGTAAGACCAATGTTCATATATGCCAAGTTTTCTGGAAACAAATCAGAGAGATTTGTGTTCAAAATCAGGGAGATTGGGTCCAAATTAGTGAGATTAGCATAATGACAATTTTTCTCATAAGTTCATGAACTCTGGAGAGGACGGAATTTTTCTTTCCAACTATTACATTTTCATTGTCACTACTAAACCCTACTGGATTCTGTCTGTTTGTCAAGACTTCTTGAAGACAGTTGAAAAGGTTTTCACCAGTTCCAATATTGCAAATGGGCATAGCCAGAAATTTGGTTTTCACTCCGTGAATGTCACTGTTAAACACCCTTACAAGAATTGCTGCACACTTTTCATTACCACTGTCATTAGACTCATCCATCATCACTGAGAAAGGGTTTTCTTTGCATAATAAAGTTACTTGCTTGTCATACATCGGACCCAGTGCATTGTTAACAATGTTTGGTACCTTAGTTCTTTTACAGTGAAATTTCTGAGCAATTTGCTACTCAGGAAACATAACTTTATACAGCTCACTAAAATAATCAGTAACCAAGTATAGTAAATTATGCTCTGCCATAAAGTTATCAAACAGAACCTCTATTTTAGTGACACTGTCTACTGATGTTAGTACACATATTTGCTTTACTTTAGGCACATTATGTGAGGATTTCTAATTTGCAATGTGCTGCATACTTTTCAAAATCCTTGTGCAATCATTTTTTTCCCCACTAGAAATGTTTGAATGTGTGCTGCAATCTGTGTAGTCTGAGTTTCCTCTGAACCTTGCCACCCCATTTTTGATATTTAGACATTTATGTTGGGGTGTGGGGTAAGAGTCCATTTTATATCGAAACGTTGAAAATTGCCGACACCATTTTGTGTCGGCATAGGGTAGCTGCTTACTAGAAGGTCTAGCAAACTTTAAAGACCATTCATTAAGATATACCTGCATGAAATTGATAGCAATATGATTTATTTTCTCAGATATTGCATTAAATAAATCTCTAATCTAATAAAAGACTATCTGAAACAACAGTGTTGATGAAATTGACCTGAAACTCAACATTTGCATCTCAAGTCACATGACTACACAAATCTAGCAACCTACATGTCAATGACAACAGAGGTCAAATGGTCATGTGAACCAAAAGTAATTCAGAATATAATTTTCAATGTGGACGAATTATACCTAAAGTTTATTTCTTGAATGGTTATTTTAGCTGGAAATACCTATGCTTGGCAGGTTTTTTTCTAATTTCAGGAAGATCTTGTCAGCAAATTGGTAGATCAAAAGATGGGGTCAAAAATCAAAAGGCTCCCGGACAAATCGGGAGACTTGGCATATATGCATATTGTTGGTACCTGCATGTAATTCAGGTCTACTGATAGGACTTATATTTGTAAATTCTGCCTGTAGTCACTAACACAAAATGAGAAAGCAGGTCTTGAAGGAAAAGTAGCACCAGAGATGCCCTTAAAATTGGTTCAAAAGGTGTCTTGTCAAGCAAGGTTAATACCCAAGATAGGTTTCGCATTGAGAATATGGTTATTATTGTTGCCATTTTATTCACAAAAATAAATCCTGGGTTTATACAATATCCTCTCTCTCATGATGACAAAAGGTGTCAAAGAGCGGTAACCTATGATTGTACTTGGTGCTAACTCTCTCTCTTTGAAGAGCCAGAGGAGGAAATATGCTCTCTGCAGTATAGATGCCTGGATAGACATGACATATTTGTATGTGCACCACTGGGTGAAAATGTGCTATTTGCCTTCTTATACTTTCAGAGTGGAGGGTTGTTGACTGGTTGCAAGAAGTGTTCAAGTCTGAGGGCCTGTTCATATGATACAGATTTGTAGGTTTAGGAGCTCTGGACAGAGATAAAACTATTGCCATTATGTTTTTTTGAGTAGATGAAGAAAAACCAGAATTTTCTGCATGGTTTCCAGTACAAGATTGATTGAGGATTGATGATCCACTACTTCTCTCGTGGCTGAAGGATAAGTTGAATTATCTCCCTTGTTCCTATAAATGTTCACTCTGAAGGAAAAAGTCAGCATGCAGACTGGTGACTTATTCTGAGCTTGTTGTTTGCACTTTGCCTATAGTGCTAATCTGTGATTATTATGTGATTATGATTTTTAATGTAGCTTTAACAATTTTTCAGTCATATCGCTACGATGTCTGCAGTGTAGCAGTTTATAGTGATGTCTAGCACTGGGGCATCATGCCACAGACATGTAGCATGATGTCCCACCCAGTCACATTATCCTGACATCAGGACGACCAGTCCTAACACTGACCTCTTAATGCTGAGCGCCAAGCAAGGAAGCTGTTAGTACCATTTTTGTAAGTCTTTGGTATGACTTGACCGGGCATCAAACCCACGACCTCCCGCATCCGAGGCGGATGCTCTAACCACTAGGCTACAAAATAGACCAAAACATATACAACTGAAGCCCTGCACTTACCTTTAGAATGCTAGACCTGAAGTCTAATAAAGCAATACAGGTAAAATATAATGACAATACTACCTGCAAGGGAGAAAAGTTATGTGATATTTCAAAATAGTGTGGGCACACAGCTATATGAAATGAAAGTTACATGGACAAAAAGTGATAGCAGATGATATCAATACCATGCTACCTGTAAGGAAGGCCATGGACATCCTGTACAGGTAGCATCACTGAAGCATGGCATCACTGATCCAAGTTCCAAGACCAAGGATACAGTGGTAAATGAAATTCACCTCTATATACCAGAATAGATGGAATTATACACATACAAGAAAGTTTAATAAGTGCATAATGATATGTGCATGTATAAATAAGTTAGCCTGAACCCATCTGTGAAGTCACATACCCTACCTGTGTGAGTGACTAAATGCTCGTTAAATATGATAGATTATTTATGCAGATAAGCAGGACTCAAGTGTCACCGATGGAAACATGCATGAGAATGATGACCTGTACCTATTTGACTGCAGCAGAAGAAATACTGAAATACATTATGAGGCAATACTTATAGGGAAAAAATGCCCAGAGACCACCCATACAAGCAAAAGCACCGAAGTTAATGTCTGGACACTATGAATGCCTTGGAACAGAAATTCACTGACATGTAACTATTTATAATAAAATTACACATACATAAGTGCTAGAGACTTGTACATATAAAATAATTATGGCCTGAACTGAATGTGAAGTTGCTTGGGCTCGACATGCAAATACCTAGATGTGTAATCACAACAAAGTTAGCAACTTGTAAAGGCAGATCTTTATTGTAATAGGGCAAGAAAAATATTGAAAATATGAATGGAGTATACTTTCCATAGAAGTAAAGAACTCCTCCAGCTTGATATATGTTCCACGTAGATTTAGGCTTTTGCAAAATCTCTCATGATAAGAGTGTGTTTACTTCTTGGCATGAGCGGAAGTATTAACTGATGTATTCTAATGCTTTGCTCCAAGACGTATATATATATGGGGAGATCACTGCCCAACTGCCACAGTGACCAGTAGAAAACATTTAGCTCCTTATAGCTAAAAGAAATATATATAGGAGATTTGGATTTGTGAGGAAGTAGTAGTTCTCCTCAGGTATTATGATTAAATAGCATATTTGAAGATATTTTTGCATCCTTTATGCATTAAATATATTGAAAGCTGTCCTAATTCCATCCAAAAGTTAAAAAAATACAACAATAGTTAATCTTGTGGAGTTTACCAGGCACTCATTTGTTTTAAGCATTTCATAATTTCTGCACAAGTTACCTCCTTTTGGAACCTCAAATCTTCCAAATATATCATCTTTTTTATACTTATATTATTATCTAATAAATAATGTACCAGAGACTTTACACCTCTTTCAAACTCTGAACTGAACATATATATAATGGTTGCAAACTTGTGGGGTCATCTTTTTTTCTCCTTCATCTATACACTAACCTTTTGGACATACAATCATACATTTTCCACTTGTTCAATTTCCTTCAACAATTCTTCTTCTTTTCCCTTTACCTTACTTAAAGAAATAATCTTCTAATGTGAGGGTGCAGATTTCTAATAAATGAATTTAATGAAATAACTGATTATCCAGATTACATGTCTTAGTAGTGTAGTAGTAACAGTATCAAGAAAATTTATGCTTTCTTCATTTATCAAGAAAAAGTCTAAATGAGCTATTTCAAAAGGATTCTGAATCCAAACACATCTTAATCTCAGGAACACAAATTTGTCCGTGGATTTCTGAGATACAATTCTTTTTTTCCAGATCCAGTACTCTTTCCCTTCTTTTGGGGTTATTTATTGTTCTATAGTTATATACATCTATATCAGAATCTTGAACTAAGTTCCAGTCTGCAAAGACAGTGGTAGAATTTCATACACTGACAACTAACTCCAATCCATCAAAAATACTAGTGAATCTTCATTTGAGCAATACAAATAAATAAGTGTTATAGTACTTCATGAAAGCATTATTAACTTTACATATAAATTATATTTATACATGTAATTATGTATCTTCCATATAAACTATAACTGTACATGTAATTATGTATCTTTACATATAAACTATAACTGTACATGTAATTATGTATCTTTACATATAAACTATAATTGTGCGTGTAATTATGTTATCTTTTTGAAAATAATTTCAGTGGATTATTTGCTACAGTGGTTATTTGCACTTTTGTACAGTTCTATATTTATGAGAATACCTTGCAATTTTATACCACAGAGTTTATTTTCTGACTTTATCCATGAATTCTAAAGTTTCTTTGGTTGTTTTCTCATAAAAGAGTATTATGGTCACTCCAACATTTTCCTGTACTGCTGTACCTTTATGAATCTCCAAATTACACCACTTTTTGCGGTGTGAGTCATCTATCCTGTACAGTTTATTATTATTTTCATTCCAGGTATACTGATCCAAGTCATCAGTGAAGAAAATAAAGCATGTATTCCATTATTTTCCTTAGGGATTAGAGTATTTTTAATATATATTTTATAATCATTCTTATCTCGACTTTACTGATACTTTCTACTAAGAGCATTTCTCTTGCACACCTTCAAAACTTTCTCCATGTAAATTTTCTAAAATCATCTGCAAATATCCCACCACTTTTGAAATTTGCTGCTTTAATATTTTTTCATCCTTCCAAACAAATCATTAATTCCAGCTCATGTGACAATTTCTTTTAGCTTTTGATTTATATATTCTTTTGATTCCACATTTTCTTGAGCTGTTGAGACAGCATCCAATTTTGTTTCATACAATCTTCGTTCTTGTAGTATCTTGCTCCTTTATCAAGAATTCGCTAATCTAAGTATGGGCAGGTGGGGTAGATATGGGCATTACTCAGTCAAGACATTGATTTTGGTGATACTATACTTTCTTGACCTGCCATATCTTTTTCTTTACTTCCATGTAAATTCTTTGAAGACCCTTCTGGAAGCACTTTCTTTCAGGTTTCCTAATTTCTAGGCAAACAATAAAACATTAGCAATTGCTGTCAGCATGCAGGCTAATAATCAGCTGCAGAAAAAAATACACCATTATTTCATTGTAAGATGTGGTCATGTTCACTTTTGAACAACATATAAATATACTATATATTGTACATACTTTGAATTGGTTCATAAAGGATGAAAGTTACATTACGATATATTTATCAGTGACACTGGTATTCAAACCTGTGCTTATAATATGTTTTGTCTTCAGAATGATTGATTGATTCACATTGATAAAAATCACTTTTTAAAAACTCTTTAATTATTGATCAAGTCTCAGAAAATACCGCTAACTTCAAAAAGTAACAATTCTTCCAATTCCCTCTGGCAGAAAAAGTATCATATGATTCCAAAACTTGCTTTTCAAATTAAATTATCCTCTAGTAAACTAGATTGATCTAAACTTAATGGCCATGATCTTGACCCATGGCTGATACAGTAATGGTGACTTTGCTAGATATTACATTTGACAAGTATTGTTGTCTTCACTGGATATTCTAAATCAATATGCACAATCACTAGCTCTTGTCACAGAAAATGTCGCATTTCTTGCTACTATATTGCAGCATCACTACTTCAATCAGCAAAATTGAAAAGGAATACACAGAAATCAAGTCTTCCACAATTTATGATCTCAAGGTTTGATCAACTGACAGAATAAAATCTCTTGACCTGCCATTAGAACCATCTGTTCTTATATTAGCATTTTTTTTCTCCTTGGGCACACAGAGCAATTCAATATCCAAAAATAGCTTTCCATATTGGGCTAGGTAACATGCCAGATTCTAGAAAAGCATGCTGTACAAGTTATTATTTTGTACTATATGTACTAAAAATAATAATTAAATTAAAGGACGAATATGACTTGGTACAAAATACAATATAACCAATCATAGAGGGCACAACAATTCTCATATGTCTCGCATATGCTGTGTTAAAGAGGGCTCTTTTTCTTGATTTTTTAAAAATTTTATTCTAATTTCTTCAATTTTATTCTAATAAAGTATTATAATTGCCTTTCCTAGTATGGTGTTAGTAATTTTAACATGCTGACTATTGTCATGCTTATGAAGTCCAAAACTGTCATATAACCTGGTTGATTAAATCCTGTCACTTCTGTTTGTAATGGTCTATGTTACCCTTGCATTGCAAGTGTACTTAGTGTTGAAATTGACAATGAACAGTTAGAGCTGGAGCTTATTTATTTATCAACTTACTGTAGTGCTGCTCAACAAGTGGGGCCTGTTTCATCATGAAAATACCAAATAGAATCTTAGTTATTAAACTATAATATTTTTATAAAGACTTTCTAGAAATCATTACATCATTGACAAATGCACTTGCTGAACTTAAGGATATTGTTTATAATAACTATAAAACAACATTCCTTCATAGTCAATGATGTCAAGCCATGGATAATTATAAACCCAATATGGCTGAAACTGTCTCTGTCTCTTAATTGAGCAAGATTTTACATTTTTCTGCCAGAGTGTCTGGCTTATGTCACTTTGGAGAAATTTTTACCTCAGTCTCAGTGACAGCTGTTTTACCCCTCCACTTTCAAGTGAATTTTCAAGTGAATTTTTTTTTTAAGAAATCTGTGCAAAAACTCATTTTATCCAAACAAAAAACATCAACATTTATTAAAATGGTCATAATATACATTTTGTCATTGATATGCAAACAAAGACTGTTCCTTTGGCATAAAACCCTAATTGTTTCACTTCAAATGCATTATTGCATATTAAAGTTGACCTTCTGCATAATTGAGTAAAAAAAATATTGACTCATTACAGTCATTTAATTGGTTCATTAAAGAAATGGACATTTTGGGGGGTAAAGTACCTTTCATTAATTTTATTGCAGTGACTGTGTATTAAAATCAAAGTACATGTAATCTACTCATGAGAATCTGAAGAGTTAACA